ACATATCCTAAATATGTAATTGCTGTGGAGCCTTTCCAGTCTATTGGTTACAGGACTCTAGGAAAAGGGGAAAGTGAGTACAATTGTAGGCCCTGATGTCTGGGGCTTTTAGGGGATCAGCAGGACTGATCACCTGCCTGAAATATTGTGTGTATATATAAATATATATATATTTTTTTTTCGAGGCTGGAATCTTGGAATTCGACTGTGCAAAGCCAAATGAATAATTCCATCTGCGTGGAGAGCTCACTGGATTCCGAGGAAGCTGCTCTGGTGAGTAAAGCAATGAATTTTGTCTGGGTTTTGGGATCAGATCCTTGACTGAAGAGCATCCACCCCCAGCCCCACATGCTCTTGGAGGAAGGACTTAGGTTTTCAATGTGCCTCCATCCACATGTGGATCTGCCCTAAAGCCAGTGGGGATTTTGGTACATGGCCCAAGAGGACCAGGTTGCTCTAGTCTGCTCTGCCTGAACCTAGGGAATTGCTACTTAAAAACACGGAAAGAAAAACTCAAAGTACCAAATTTTGAGGGATTTTAAAAGCATCTTGGTCAAATGTTGGTATATTGGTCCATATTCTGAATTATCTGTAATGACCAATAGAAAGTAAAATGGCATCTCTGCTTCCTTTTAGTAATTTTTGCTTTGAAAAGAACCCCCTCCTATGTCCTGGCCTTCTTTAGAGAGGAGGAGAACACAGCTTACAAATATTTGAAATTTAAACCCAAAGAAAGCCTCTGGTTCTCTTCTTTTTGTATAATATGAAAAGCAGAGAAGATTCAGCCTCAAAAACTGCTTAAGATGTTTAGTGCTCTCCACTAAAATCACAAAACCGAAGTAATTTATTGTTATCAGCAAAATGCTCGTTTCAATCCTTTCTTTAAAGGATTGTGTGAAGTATTTCTCTACTAAATTAGTGTGAATGGTTGCTAAATACACACCAAAATTCCTCCAGCTGGGAGACATGGCTGTGCAAAGGCCAGGCCACTCAGGTCCTTGAGGAGAGCAGAGGGAGAAGCTGCTGCAAGCCCAGAGGCTGCTGAGATGGATCCTTGGTGGTGGGCAGCTTACATAAACCTTGAATATGCTCCTCCTGGAGTTACCCTATTATAACAAAGACCAAATTTGGAGTCTCTCATTCTTATGATTCTACCCCGTGCTTCTTTCCACCCCCTCTTGAGTTCTTTTATTGAAAAATTCCTAAATTCAGAAGGTAACCTGCTCCGCCACTGCGAAGCTGAAGTTTCTCTGCCTGCCCTTGCTTTGGTGGGACTTTGGGATGCTGAGCTCCACCTCGATGGGCTCAGCACCCCGAGGCCTCCCCACGCACACCATGGAAGATGGGCAGCCAAGAAGACAACAGTGATCTGTACTTAACATTAGGTGGCACAAAAGAGTTTCCTTTTGCTCGCAGAACACTGAAATCGACGGGCAATAACAAGCAGAGATTTTCTTTTCTTTAAACAAAATTCTCCTTCCCTATTTTCCCCAGCTTTCCAGCGGCCTTTGAAGTGCTCCTGTTTATAAACTTACTTGATTTCGTCTTTCATTGCATCTCTTTTGTCTCTTAACCTAATTTGTTTTAAAATAAGACATAGCCCAGCCCTCGCTGTGGTTGTATTTACAGAGCAGCCAAAGGGCTCTAAAACAGGCTAATTTCAGTGAAACGCCTTCTGTCCCTCCTCCAAACCAAGGCTGCCTTCAAGAGCTTTGCCTCTCAGGACCCTGCGTGCTCAGAGCCAGAGTGACCACGCAGGGCATGTTTTAACCTGAAGCTTTTCATCCGTGTCCTTAGTTGGGGTTGTTTCCAAACCGCGGCCGTTTACTCCTGGTTTGGTCCCCGGTGTGCATTTATCCTGTTCCTGCAGTTCACTGAAAAACGTGCTTTTGGGGGTTATATTTCCTTCCCCTGCTGCTGTAATCCTTTCGGAGAGAGCTGGAGGTTGTGGTCCCTCTGTGGGGGCTTTGCTGCCCAGCACAGGGGCAGTTGTCCCCAAAGCTGCGGTGCTGCAGCTCGCCAAGATTTACAAATGAAATAAATCAGTTTTACGGTTAAGAAACAAAGCCTCGCCCGCTGTTTACATCCCAAATCCCTCTCGCTCCCAGGTATAGGATGGCCGGGTTGTTGGGAAGGCGCCTGTCCGCTCGCTGGCTATTGAAGACAAGAGCTCTCTCTCCCTGCTCGGGTCGCTCCTCGGGATTCCTAAAGGTAATTTTCTCCCCCTAAACTGTTGGCAGAAGGGCTGGGTATTGTTTTCTCCGAGGTTCGGCCTCAGAGAGGCGAACAGAAAGAAATAAAAGGCCGTTTCGCTGCCGCTCCCTTGAAGTCGTGCTGCCCGCCTGCCTCCCCCGGCAGCCG